TTTCTTTCAACACTCAAGCAATGATGCATCTAGGTATGTAATGCATGACCTCATACATGATTTAGCTCAATATGTTGCTGGAGAAACATGTTGCAATCTTGAAAATATGTTGGAAGCAAAGAAAGAAGTAAATGCTGAAAAGGTACGTCATTTATCATTTTATTGTAATTGGCTAGATATCTCTGAGAGATTTGAAGTTTTAAATAAAACGAAGGGTTTGAGATCGTTCATTCCAATTAATTCATCAGCATCAGCAGAACTAGGTAGCAGTAATCTATCAAATACAGTGGTGCATGATTGGTTAGTGAAGTTAACATGCTTGAGGGCATTGTCTCTTCAAAGTTATAACATGAGAAAGCTTCCGGATTCAATTGGAGATTTGAAGTGTTTGCGATACCTTAATTTGTCTAAAACTGCCATGGAAACCTTGCCTGAATCCATAGGTTTCCTTCTGTCCTTACATACATTGCTTTTACAAAATTGTGGTGAGTTCTCCAAATTTCCTACAACAATTGGGAAATTGAATAACCTCCATTATCTTGATATTACCAATACGCCATCTTTGAAACATATGCCACGTGAAATAGCTAATCTCAAAAATCTTTTAATATTGCCCAAATTCATAGTAGGGAAAACGAATGGGCTGAGATTAAGTGATGTGAAGAACTTGTTACATCTTCGAGGGTATCTATCTGTTCTGGATCTACAAAATGTTTCTGACAATTTAGAAGCTAGACAATCCAGTTTACACATGATTGAAGCTCTAGATGAGTTGGTGTTAGAATGGACTTCTGATTTTGATAGTTCAAAAAAGGGAAGTGATATTGAAGTGGAAGTGCTTAGCTCCTTAAGGCCTCATCAAAATTTGAAAAAGTTGACAATTAGTTGCTATGGTGGTAAGCGATTTCCATCCTGGATTGGTGATCAATTTTTTTGCAATTTATCCTATTTGAGGTTGTCTGGTTGTAGAAACAACAGTTTGTTGCCATCAGTTGGGCAATTACCTGCACTCACAGAGTTGATTATTGAAGACATGGACGCAATTGAAACTGTTGAATCTGAGTTTTATGGGCGTGGCACTTTTACATCACTGCAGATGCTTAAGTTTCACAACATGTTAAACTGGAAGAAATGGGCTTTTTTGACTAGCACCGGAGTAGAATTCTCATGTTTGAAGGACCTTGAGATTGCAAATTGTCCTAAGCTGACAGGAGAATTACCCAGCCACCTTTCTCCTCTCATTAGTCTTGTGATAAAGGGGTGCCCAAAGTTAACATGTTCGTCTTTAAGTCTTCCGTCTCTTGAAAAACTATGCATTGCAGGTTGCAAGCAAGTACTTCTGGAGAGCATGGTTAGCTTGACTTCACTCACAATGTTGGAAATTTCAGATATTTTGGGACTTGGATGCTTGTCCAAGAGTTTTACAGGTTCATTGACAGCATTAAAGGATATAAGGATTGAAAGGTGCCGGGAGCTTACCTATTTGTGGGTGGAAGGAGCGGAGACATCAAACCTTGCTCATCTTGAACGTATGAGTATTGTGAATTGCCCTTTTCTTGTGTCAATGTCACGGGATGAACAAGGCCTCATGCCTCCCAATGTTAAATATCTTTCTCTGTATAGTTGTGGGGCTTTAAAGTGTTTACCCGATGGTATGATGACGACGGCAGATGGAAGCAACAACATGGTGAGACTTGAAGAGCTGAGAATTGAGGATTGTCCTTGTCTAGAGCATTTTCCAAGAGGGAAGTTACCCGCCATGTGCCGAGTCTTAATGATAGGAGGTTGTGCCAAAGTAGAGTTCTTACCGGAGGGAATATTGGTGCAAGAGGATGATAGTGACAACAGCAACAATATTGAAAATTTGGAAGTGAGAGGACTTCCATCCCTAAATTTTATTCCTAGTGACGATCGATTACCAGCTTCTCTTAAGAAATTTGAAATTGGAAATTGCCCCAGGTATATTGCTTTGCAAAAGAACAGAACTTCCCTCTCTAAATTTTAAAAATATTTTCCAGAGTTATAAGACTAGTTAGTAGCTACCCTTTTAAAGCATTTTGAAATTTATTTATGATTGGCATAGGTTGGAATCAATTTCAAAGAGGATGCTGCAACATTGTACAAGACTTGAAGACATGGACATTCGGGATTGTGTAAATTTAAAATGCTTATCCTTCAACGGCCTCCGCAATCTCACTCGTTTATACATTGAAGGATGTAATGCTTTGGAGTCCTTCCAGGAGAAGCCGGAGTTGAGCTTATCCATCCCCAATATTAAAATTTTTAAAATATTTAATTGTCAGAATCTCAAGTCCCTGCCAAATAAGATGGACAACCTCACGTCACTTCAAGAATTGCTTATAGATGGGTGTCCAGGCATCAAGTCAATTCCTAAAGGGGGTTTGCCCCCAAGCCTAACTGATCTTTCAATTGATTGTGAGAATCTGAAGCACCCTCTGCGAGAATGGGGCCTCCATACCCTCACTTCTCTTTCCTTCTTCTCCATTGCTCATATATGTCCTCCAAATAATGTGCTTCCTTCTTCTTTAACCTTTCTTTGGATAAAAGACGTTCAGAATCTGAAATCCATACCCAGAGGCCTCCTCCAAAACCTTAACTCTCTTACACAATTATGGATCTGGAGGTGCCCAAAGCTCCAATCTTTGCCAAGGGAAGGCCTGCCTCCATTGCTGGGAGAAGTCGATATCTATCACTGTCCGCTTCTAAAAAGAGAGCATTTTCAAGAGAAAGGAGAGTATTGGCCCCTCATAGCCCACATTCCCCGCGTTGTGATAAATGACATCCAGGTATA